GTTGAGTCATAAATAAACCATTATTGGGCACACGGTGCTAGAGGCTGCGGAAAATGGAACTATTGTCCGAAGTGCAGATACTAAAGAAACGAGTGATGACAAAGCACAGCGAGTCCCACGATACAGGTGGAAGCGGGGTGGGGGGGGGGAGCGGGCAGCAGTGGAGGCGATGCTTTAGGTGTGTTCTGATGGGTCCCCGGAGTTTACCAGCAGGCGGCAGAGGGGAGGGTATCTCCAGGCAGGGGCATAACGTGAGGTGTGGTACCACGGTTTGCTCAGGGGTCACAAAAAGCTGGATCAGAGGATTTGTCGGGAAATTGGAGCTGAGGCCGGGGTCGCAGGGGCCTGGTTTGTGAAGGGTCCTATGTACCAGGCGGAGGAGTGTATTTCTCATTCTAGATCTATAAGGTGACAGTGAAGGTTGGGGTGAAGCCAGGTGTTTATGGAGCCAAGGATCTAAGGCAGGGAAGGCTCTGGAAGGATAAATATGTGGCCTCGTGCCGATGGGATTCCACTCATGGTGCTGGAGGGCTTCCCGTGTCTGAGACACCACGTCACAAAATATGAGGGACACCAAATCGGTCACCCTGGGCCTCAGAGAGGGCACCAGAAAAAAAAAAAGGTTACAGTTAGATCTTGTCCTTAAGGAGCTTATAGTCTAGTAACAGGGGAGGAGGCCCGGGATGGGAGAGAGAATATAACTTTGCACACTGGGTTTGGAGCCCGGCTCCAGGTGGGTAACACCCGGCACTTGTTCTTCCTTCGACCTTCAGTGTCCTGACCTGTGAAATGGGGACCGGAGTACCCAGGGCAAAGTGCTGGGCACATGGGTGCTTCTCTCCCAAACTGACCTGTCACAAGCTGGCGTGCCTCCCTACGACAGGCCCGACACCTGCGCACATGCTTCCCCACGTACTCCTATCCCAAGTTTTTGGTGCAATTCAGTAATTAAGTAACATGGAAATACAGAAGGAAGAAATAATCAATAAACCCATCAACCGCTACTGTAAACCCTCCCTGTGTGACCTGGTGTCCACACCCTTTGCGCTCCAGCTTCCCCAGAGCCAGGACTTGGGTGAGACAAGGGAAGCATGGGGGCGGAGAATTTAAGGAAGCACCCACTCCTAGGGCTGTGCAAGTGCAAACTGTGCACACACACAACCTTGGGAGTGAGAGCGTCCTTGAGAAAGAGCCACTGGGGCGCCTCGCTGGCGCAGTCGGAAGAGCATGCAAGTCTTGATGGGGGAGTCATGAGTTCGAACCCCAAACAGGGTGTCCGGATTAATAAAATAAATAAACTTGAGAGAGTGAAGAAGAAAGAGAAAGAAAAAGAAGGAAGAAAGAAAGGTCAGGCACCCAGGGCACTGGTGCGGCCCTGAGAGTGAAGGTTTTGTTGAATTTTGTGTCCTGGTCACCCCCCTTGCCTCACCTTAGCCCTAGCTCTGCAGGTCCCCCACCAGCCCTCCTTCCAGGACCTGTGCCCGTTTGCCAGGGTCCCCTTCCCCTCGGGTTCCAGCACTGACTGCAGAAGTGGGGTGGACCCTCCTCATTCGCTGCCTAATGCCACCCCAACTCTCGGCCGCCACATTACTCTGTTGACTCATCATCCACCGTCACCCAAAGCCTAGGTTCTTTTCACGTGAGCAGCAACCAAGCCAGATCTCCCCCATCCTGCCCTTCTCTGTTGATTTCGAATCCTCTGAAAAGGCCCTTAAAGAAAGTATTTGAGGGGCACCCGGGTGGCTCAGTCAGCTAAGCACCCGACTCTTGATTTCAGCTCAGGTCGTGATCTCAGGATGGGGAGATCGGGCCCCATGTCAGTCTCCACGCTGGGTGTGGTCTCTCTCTCTCTCTCTCTCTCTCTCCCTCTGCCCTTCCTCTCTCTCCTCTCTGTCTACCTCTCTCTAAAAACAACAAAACAAAAAAAGAAGAACATATTCGAGAGCCTAAGGAATCAGAGCCACAGAGGAAATGGGTCAAGGAGATGAGGGGAGCAATACCTTGAGAGAGACGACGGGGGGGGGGGGTGAAGGAGAGATGGGAGCCCTAAGAGGCAGGGCTGGGGTGAGGGGGTCAAGGAAGAGACATCAGGGAATGGGGGCGGGGGGGGGGCTGGGAGGAGGGCCCAGAATTTAGAGACCTGGAGAATCAGAAACTGGAACAAGGGAGCAAAGAGATAAAGGTTAGGGAAAGGAAGAACCCAGAACAGGTGGCGCCTGGGGAAGGAAGGGACCCGCTTGGGGCCTCCAGCAGGGAGAAGGATGGGGAAAACCAAGCTAAGGGGGGGTGCACAGGGTTGGGGGGGATGAGGTAGGCAGGAACCCGGATCTTTCCTCTGCCAGCCTTGGGTAAGGGAGAGGCTCGCCAGGCTCTCTCTGTCCTTTCACTTTCCACCTGTCGGTGGGGGGGCGGGGGGTGGGGGTCACTGTGGCTCTGGGGCCCGAGATCACGCCCCCCCAGGGCTCAGGTGAGGTTCTGAGGGGGCCAGGAGGGTCTCCTCCTCCTCCGGGGCTCACTGCGACCCGGCCCAGCAGCCAGGTGGACGTCCAAGCCTCGGAGGACGTGCCCCTCACAGGCTGGGAACGCAGCTGGAGGCTAGGGGTCCGCAGGGGAGGGGGCCGGGCGGCTGGGGGTGTGTTTCCACCGGGGCTGGCAGGGGCTGCAGGGGAGGGCCGCGCCAGGGCGAGGAGACCAAGCCGAGGGTTTGCAGAGAACCAGAAGAACATTAGCCCCATTGAATCATGTGGCCGTTGGCCAAGAGCCCTTGACCTCGAGAGGCATCTCTGGTGAAGGACTCAGGGTGAGACTCAGGGCCAAGCCTCGACACTGTCTTCGGGACAGGGGTTTCCCTCAACAGAGGCCGGTGGGGATGGGGGCCTCCGGGGGAGGAGAAAAAGGGGAAGGAGGTGTTTGGGGCCAAGGGGGCGGGGCCAAGGGCAGGAAATGAGCTGGGAACCACCATCACCCTCCCTCCACTGCAGGCGCCACAGCCCAGAGGAGAAGACAAAGAGGAAATGACAGATTGGGGTGGGGTGGGATGGGGGGGATCGTGCCAGGCTCTGGGAGGAGCTCAAAGTGCCAAAAACAAGCTGGACTGGGTGGCCAGGACACCTGCCTTCAATTTCGAATCCCATCAAGCTGGGTTTGTGAGAGGCCACTCTGGGCCAGGGCGAGCGCAGAGTTGTCCCTGGTCCTGCTGGCTTCCCAGCCCCTCCAGGGACCCCAGGGTGGCAGCGGACAGGCCCCACGGATCGTCCACATCCACTCCTTTGCACCCTGTGGCCCGACCCTGCAACCAGCCTCGGGGCGTCCCCCATTTCGGCAGCTTCTCCCCCGCACCCTCGGCCTTGAACCTGTTGCTCCCGCGCAGGGAGAGTCACGGACACTGGGGCAGGGAGACCCCACCCCAGGGCCTCCCCTGCGGCCCAGCAAGGTTGCAGAGCGCCCAGAGCCCAGCAACCACGTCCCTGGGCACCCTCCTCCAACCAGGAAACCCCCGCCCTCCCCAGTGCCACCCTCAGACTCTCCCAGGGCCCTGCCCCTGGCTCCTTTCATTCAGACCCAAGGACCATCCACTGGCCCTTCAGCCACTTGCCTCTGACCATGCCGTCCCCCGGCCTCCCTCTCTGTCCCCAGCACAGATGTCGCGTCACCCCTCTCTTTTGCCTACTTCTCTCAGTTTCTCATCTCTCCATCCTCCCCCCCCCCGCCCCCGCCTCTCCATCCACAGGTAGTCACACAAGGGGGCTCCCCTGCTTCTCCACTGAGCCACACTTCCTGCCGCGCCTGCCGGTCAGCCTCCTGGGTGCTGACCCCAAGCCACTGCCCCTCGCCGTGAGCACCTGGGCGCCGTGTCTGTCCCTCGACTGGATCAGACTGGAGAGCAGCTCCATGCCCACCCCGCGAAGCAGCCCCGAGCCACCTCCTTACCCTCCTGGCCCGAACGCTGGAGCTGCTCCTGCAGGTCACACCCAAACACCCTCTCCTTCGAGCTGCCCTTCTTCTTTCCTTTCTGCCGAGACTTCATGGCTGGAGCCCCTGGGCCCTGGCCCAGCCACCTCCACCCCCCCGAGACCTTTGCCCTACCAGTCCCCCATAGGATCCCAAGGCGGCCTCTGGGCTTAGCCCGGCCCCGGGGGGCAGGGCTCCGAACTGGGGGTGGAGGGTGGCCTGGGCAACAGGCAGCAGCTCTTGCCTTTGGGGCCCCGGCGACACGGAAGTAGCCGTGGAAGAGGAAGCTGCCCGGACCCTGGCAAGAAGCTGTGTCTCGTGGCCCAGGCTGGCACTTGCCCCTCTGGCCCCGCTCAGCCCTGGGGGAGCAGGAAGCTGTGCAGCTACTCAAACCCGCTTCCTGTTAGAGCATCTTTGCAACCACAGGGCCCGGGGTGGGGGAGGCAGCTGACATTCACATCCTCAACCCATCACTGGGACTTCGCTCATTGGTCAAGGCAAGGTGATGTCAGAGCCCCGGGGTGGGGTGGTGGCGCCCCGGGACCTGAGCAGGTCCTTCGAGACCAGAATTTGGGGGGTCTGAGGTGGAGACTGGAGGTTGGCCTGAGGGGGGCAGGTGCCCAGGCTCAGCCCCCGACGGGCCTGTGGCCTCGGTCAAGTCCCATCACCCCTGTGAGCCTCAGCGTCCACACCAAGGTGACCACCAAGGGGGTGAACGAGGTGATCTTTCATCCTTCTGACCCTTTCTGTGGGACTCACTGAGCGTCGGCTTCTTTGGAAAGAGTGTGCACACAGTCGTCTGCCCCCCAGGCCTGTTCTGGTGAGAACCCAACACGACACAGGACTGATGGCGCCGCGCGCGCGGAGGGAAGGGGCTTTTCGCTCTGTGGTCCTCGGGGGAACTCTCAGGCAGGGCAGAGGGCATTTCTTTCCCCTTTACCTCCCAGCCACAGGCATCCTAGCTCCTCCCCTGCTCGGGCCGCAGGGAGGAAGGTGCTGAGTTGTTCAGGGCTTACAGGGCCCAGGGGCAAGACAGGAACCAGGCAAAACAGCTTTTATCTGTTTATTTAAAAACAGAATATCATTTTTATGTACAAATATGCACATATTTACACACAAAAAATGTACATACCAGGAACCCAGATCTTTGGGTTCCACAGTTAAAGTCCTGGGCTGGCTGGGGAACAAGGGATGGCATCTCTCCGTTGGCCCAGAAATCCAGCAGATTTCAGGCCAGGGAGGGTTTGGGCACAGTCTAGGTTTTCTTGCCAAGTGCGTCAGAGGGGAAACGCTGGATCGTAGGTAGACCCCCCCCCAGACCCACAGAAACTGTCAGAAGAGCCCCAGGTTAGAGACCCCGAGGCCCACTTTGGCAGCTCCTTGGCCCTACCCGAACTCCCTGCCCCCCTGGGTCTGTAATCCCTACTGGGTCTCCCCTACACCATGACCAAAGCAGGAGCTCTGTCACCCACCCAGCAACCTCCCCAGGGACCACAGGCATCGTGCATGCAGCCAAGAAGAGACACGCAGCCAGGGCAAGGGCTGAGGGGCCCCAAGGAGCCAGGACCCCACCCTGTCCCCCTGCAGCCGGGGACAGAGGCGCTCACATCCCGGCCTCAGACCCCGGAGCGCCAGGCTCCCTCCTGGGCAGCTGCCTGAATCCCAGGGCCTTGAAGGAGCACCTTGCAGAAGCATCAGCGTTAACCCCCTGCGGGGGTCGAGCGAGGTCAGCTTTGCAACTTCCTACGCTGGCCCAGCTCTGACCAAACCAAGTAATGACAAACGTTCAGATCAATCAAAAGTTTTTTTTTTTTTAAAGATTTGTTTCTCTTATTAAAGTATTTGGAGGAGTATTCCTTAAAGAAACTCCTCCAGCAGGTTTATTTATAGAAAATATGCACATGCAGCAGGCCCAGAGGCCACCGAGGCCACCAGAGGGCGGGGGCGTCGCCGCTCACAGCTCTAGCCTCTGGGGGACCCCTGGGCTGGCGGCACAGTATCTGCCGCCCTGGGAGCCCGGCTCCCCAACCCAGGAGGCCAGAATCCAGTTCCAGCCATGCCTGCACACCTGGACCTGACCCCCCACCGTCTCTACCTCTCGCCTCCAACCTCTGCGCCATTAATACTGCTCTGGGGTCTGAGGAGATGACCTGCGTTTGCAGGTAGAGGTCACACAGCCACACGACACGCAAGCCAAACCCACCACGGTTCACTTGGACTCGGGCAGGACAGCACGACACACATGTGGGCACGGGCACTCCCCGCACACACACACACACACACACACACACACACACCGTGAGTGGACACTCACACAAGCGCACATGCACACAGCGACCTGCACACACACACGCACACACAGGCACACGCACTGGGAGGACTCAACCGACAGACAACCCCCCCATCGTCGAACAGAAGGGTTGGAGGAAAAGGTCGAGCAGTCAGTGGGATGGGGGGCATCTTCCTCAAGAAATACGGTGTTGAGGGAGGCCCCCCGAGATGAGCGAAGGTTCCCCAGGTCAGCAGAAGGAGCCAGGGTCAGGGGAGGGAGGCAGGCCTGGGTCAGACCAGATGCCCCCGCCCGTTGATGTAGATGCCGTTGCCCGTGGGTTTGGCCCGCAGGGTTCCGTTCTCTTGAACAAAATGGTTCATGGCCTGTTTGATGCCTTCATCCCGGTCTTCCTCGTCCTCTGCCCGCCCGGAGCCTGGGGACAGCAGTTCGGTCTGTGTCTCAATCTCCCGCACGGTGGTCAGCGTGGAGTAGCTGCGGCCCTCGGGCTCTTCACTCTGCAGGCCAAGGACAGCGGGCTCCTTAGGAAGCCGGCGCCGACCGACGGCAGGGGGTCCCTTGGGGAGTGCTCGGGTCAGAGGTCAGGTGCAGGCAGGGGTGAGGCTCCGGGTGGAGGCCGGGGCAGGCCAGTGAGGCGGGCAGGCCAGGTGGGAGCAGAGGCGCCCGGGCTCTGGGGCGCTGGCCTGCCGCTCGGGAGCAGGAGGGGGCCCGAGGGCAGCGGCGGGGACGCCGGCGGGGCCGGGGCCTCACCATCACAGAGCAGCTACTGTTGTCCTTGAGACTATCGGGGTGGCCCTCGGCTCTCAGCCCTACACTCTCCTCCGGCTGTGGGGCCCGGACACGGGGGAGGAGTCAGAACAGGGTTCGGCCCCGCCCTCCTCGCCTTCCCCCGCCCCACCTGTCCAGCTCTCCCTGACGCGCCAGCTCCTCCTCCCCACCCCGCCCCAGCACCCCCGGGGCAGCCGCGCCCCCAGCCCCAGCCCCGCAGGGCGGGCTCCGGCCTGCAGGGGGGCCCCGGGCACGCACCTGGCTCCTGGGGTCCGAGTGGTGGGAGTGCAGCCTCCGGATGGAGTTCTCCCTGGTCAGGGTCAGCTCCTCCTCGCTAGGAGACACCCGCCCGTTAGGAGCGGCGGGCGCAGCCCGGGCCTCGCGGAGCCAGGGCTGGGCCAAGCCCGGGCCTCGCGGAGCCAGGGCGCGGGTGTCGCGCGGTCCCGCAAGTGGGAATGAGTGGCTGCAGGTGGGGCGTGCGTGTGCGTGCCACGTGGGTGTGACCCCACCAGCCGCGGCCCACCTGCCCCGACCGTCCGGGGTCCCGGGTCCCCCCGCCCCGCCGCTCACCTGGGCTTGGCTCCCAGCTTGCTCCCCGCCCGCAGCCGCCCGCACTCACTATTTCTGGGTCATCTGCTGAGCCTTGCGCCGGTGGTACCGGGACATGAGCACCACCACCACCACCAGGAGGCAGAACAGGAGCGCGGCGATCACCCCCACCACCACCACGGATGCCGACACCAGGTCCACCTGCTTCCCCGGGGCCTCCTCCGGGTCTGCGGGAGACCCCCAAGTCTGAGGCGCTGCCCAGGTCCCGGGCACCCCCGCCCTCACGGGCCACCTCCTCGCCCTCACAGCCCGGGTCCCAAACCGTCCCTCCACCTGCCCCTCCGCGTCAGTCCCCCCCCCCCCGCGCCGCGTCAGTCCCCCCCCCCCCCCGCAGGTGCCCCGGGCTCACCGAGGACGTCCACTGTGACCTGGGAGTCCCTGGAGGACAGCTCATTGCTGACGTGGCAGACGTAGGTGCCGCTGTGCTCGGCGGTCAGCGGAGGAAAGCCCAGCGTGTCCCCCTGCACGCGGACGCCGCTGGGCAGGGGCCCGTCCAACCTGGGGGACAGGGAAGCTGGGGCGGGTGGCGGCCGCCACCACCCGACGTGCCAGGGCAGCTCCCCACCGCCCTCCCCACGACGTCACCTAGAGCCGCTGGCTGTTCCCACGGTGCCCCTCCCTCCCCGGGGCAGGTCCGGGCAGAGGCCCCTTCTCCCAGCCGCCGGCCTGACCCGGGCACCCCCCACACACCCGGGGAACAGCCACACGCGTGCCATCCCACCTGCTCCGGCAGCCGTGACATCACCCAGCACCGGGGACCCAGTGGATGAGGCCGGCAGCCCGTGGGGCGGGTGGGGGGGGGCTCCCCACGTGCTTGGGAAGCGTGAGCGCACACAGCAGGGCGCAAGCAGAGCCCGGGCCCGAGGCCACACGCAGGGCTCCCCTGCTCACATCGGAGAACACGCCTGGGGTAGGGTCACCCCCGCCACCTGAAGCCGGCCCCCCACCCCGGTTCCCTGGACATCTCGGACCCCGCAGAGGCGCTGGCAAAGCTGCAGTGGTCACAGTGTCAGTGCGACAGCAGTCACAACCCACTGTGCCTTTTTGTCCTGTCCACTTTGGGCACATACGTAAACACAGACAATATTAATATTTAAATATTGTATCATATTTCATAATTTTGAAGTAGGGGGAGAAGAAAACCAAGGACTTATTGCCTGATTCCCTACCAGCGACCACGTATCCCAGCCTCCCTGGTGCAAGTCAATAATAGCATTTGGTGACGGCACATATTCTTGCGGAGGCCTGAACGTGTGCCCCGATACATCTGGGGTTAGGATATATTGTCCCAGCCCACAAGGAGAACACGGTGGCCCTGTGAGGGCAGAAGCCTGGTCCCAAGCGAGGCCCTCCCCCAGGGGCCAGGTCCCTACCGTGTCCAGTTGTATGAGGGAGGCGGGTGCCCCTCACTCAGGCACTTGAGTGTAGCACCTTCTCTGCCAACCTGCCACAGTTTTTGGTCTTCAAGGCCCCTCACGGAGGCCTCAGCGAGGACTGGAATGGGAGGTGGGAGGAGAAAGAAGGGGAATGGGCTTTCGATCATGCTGTTCCATGACCTGATCATGCTGTTCCCTGGAGGACCCCTGCCCCCTGCCCTCCCTCCTCACCCCCCAACACCCCCTCTCACCCTCCCAGTCCCTGCCCTGTCTTCCTGTGCGGCCAACCTAGCCCAGGCCCTCCTTGCTGGGTCCTCGGCACGCCGTCCCCTCCCCTCTCTGAGCTCAGAGTCCATAGTGATTTATCTGGGCTATGAGCCTCTAGGTCCCTCGGAAAAGATTCACACTTTTTCTGAATCCCCTGCGGTCCCTAGCGGAGTGCTGGCCACAGGACAGGTGTTCGGGAAACGCTCCCTGATTCTCCAAAGGCTTCAACCCGACTTATTCGTACATTTCTTTAACAAGCATTTGTGGAGGCCCTCCTGTAGGGTTAGTAGGAACAGGAAGAAGTCCTATGCCCGAAGAGGCTCGGAGTTTAATGCCAGGAAGACATTTTCCAGGTTACTGAGTATGAGTAGCATCTATGCACTAGGCGTCGTGTGAGACGCTTTGCCTCTGGGGTTTCTAATTCCCGTCAGAACCCTGTGAAGTTCCCATAATTATCCTCCTGCTGCTTCCGGGGACACTGCAGACGAGCAGGACTGAGCAACCCCCGGGGAGCAGCAGAAGCAGGGCTGGTCCGGCTGGCACGCGGGCCAGGCTGCGGGGCCCGCCGCCCTCAGCAAGCCTGTCCCACTGCGTGTATGTCTAAGTGCCTTCACCCCGGGTCTATACCCGATTCTCCCAACCGTGCTGTGGAGCAGGGCAATGTCCTTCGTAAACAGGAGGACAGTGAAGGTCAGAGAGCTCGGAGTGATCTGTCACGGCCACACCAGGGGGCCTTGGGGATCCAGCCTGGCCAGACTGGCGTGGCTCATCAGGGTCTCTGTACCCAAGCTCCGAGTACTCACAGGCCACCTGGAGGACGTGGGTGATCCTCTGGTCCTGGAGCAGGCCAGGGTGGGACACCACGCAGGTGAGCGGCTGCCCGTTCATGCTGCGGCTGGGCACCAGGTGGAACTCCGAAGTGACGGCCGCTGAGCGGGAGTGCTTGAAGGAGCGGCTGGACGCCGTGCCCTTGACCTCCGTGTCCCAGGTCACGCTGGGGGCTGGGCTGCCCTCTGCTGTGCAGGAGGCTGCCAGTGTCAGGCCCTGGCCCTCTTCAAGCGCTGGCCCGGGGTTCAGGGAGGGCAGGGGGGGCACTGCAGGTGGTGGGAGACAGGGGTCATGGTCAGGGGTCACCCACCAGGAGGCCCTGCCCCGTCCCAGCTCAGTCGTCCACGGGCAAACATTTTCAGGCTCTTTTTTCTTCTCTTATTTCACCAACATAGACACCAGGGAAAATTTCAGCTGACTTTGTACCTTTCTCTATTGTTTGTTTTTTTTTACCTTTTTTTTAAAGATTTTATTTATTTATTTGACAGAGAGAGAGACAGCATGAGTGTGTTGGGGGAGCAGAGGGAGAGGGAGAAGCAGGCTCCTCCCCATGGAGCAGGAAGCCTGAGGTGGGGCTCCATCCCAGGACCCTGGGATCATGACCTGAGGCAAAGGCAGATGCTTCACCAACTGAGCCACCCAGGCGCCTCTGGATCATTTTTCAATAAAAATAACGAAGTAAATTTAAAAAGTAACCAGATACCATCTATATCCTATAATAATAGCCATCACTTACAAAGCACTTATTAGGTGCCAAGTATTGTGCTAAACACTTTATAAATGTTATTTCATTTCATCTTGTCAACAGACCAGCAAAGTAGGGATCATCACCCCTGTTTTACAAAAGGAAATTGGAGCTTGGGAGGCTAAATGATTTGTCCCAGATTGTCAGCTGTTAGGGGACAGAAGCCTAGATTTACACTATTTCACCCCAAGGCTAGTGTTGGATAAAGAGAAACTAAAGTCTTTATTTTTATCTTCCTAACCTTAACAGCTCCAGCACAGAATGAAAATGACTCAACTAGACCATAAGTCTAGGGCCTCCATGGACCACAAGAACCCACAGTGCAAAGTGGTGGTTTAAAAGTGATGGTGGGGGCACATCGGTGGCTCAGTTGGTTAAGTTTCTGCCTCAGGCTGGGTCCTGATCCCATGGTCCTGGGGTTGTGATCCCAGGGTTTTGGGATCGTGTTCCGCATCAGGCTCCCTGCTCCGCCAGGAGCCTGCTTCTCCCTCTCCCTCTGTCTCTCCCCCTGCTTGTGTGCTCTTTCTCTGTCAAATAAATAAATAAATTCTTTAATAAATACATAAATAAATAATAAAAGTGATTGTGGTCTCCAATCCAACCACATTCACTGAAGGTCCAGATCGAGGAAGGTGTCAGCCCCACGGGTCCTCCACAACCACACTGGTCAGGGCTGGGTCTGCGTGTCCTTATCTCAACCCCACGTTTTAAAACCATGGACCTCAGGGCAGCCCCGGTGGCCCAGCAGTTTAGTGCAGCCTTTAGCCCGGGGCGTGACCCTGAAGACTCAGGATCGAGTCCGGCCTCGGGCTTCCTGCATGGAGCCTGCTTCTCCCTCTGCCTGTGACTCTGCCTCTCTCTGTGTCTGTCTGTCTGTCTCTCTCTCTCTCTCCTCTCTCTCTCTCTCATGAATAGATAAATAACACCTTTTATTAAAAAAAATAGAAAAAAAATAAAAATAAAAAATAAACAAAATAGAAAATAAAACCATGGACCTCAGGATGGCGAGTGAGGCCATGAATGAGTACTTTGGGCAGGACTGCTGCAGGAACTAGCAAGTGTAGCTTCCAGAAGAGGAGAGGCTGGGGGCCCCGTGAGGGTGTGTGGGGGGGAGTGACAAAGATCCTCAGCCCTTTGAAAGGCTGGCGTGCAGAAGACAGAATGAGCCTGTGCCCCCTTGCTTCAGAGAGCAAAGTTGCCCAAGGCTCGGGGAGTGGGCATCAGCAGAAGGAAGACCAGCCCAATACTGGATCCCAATAATGGATTCTTGTCCAAGGCTGGAGGAGCTGAACGCAGCGAGCCATGGGGGTCCGTTGGGGGGGGGAGTTTCGGGGTTGGCCGGGAGGATGGTCTGGCTGGGGCTCCCTCACCGCAGCATGACCCACCTCTTCTCCCCCCCGCAGAGCACCCACCCGTGCACCCACCCATTCACCCACCCATGCACCCATGCACCCACCCATGCATTCCTGCAGAGCACATCTCTGCGTATCCCACCTCCTGCCCCGGGAGGCCCAGGCCGCCCCGGGCCTGCACCCCCAGCCCAGCCCACGGCCCACTCACCCAGTACGCGGAGCCGCAGCCGCGCCTGGAAGCTGCCGGCGGGGAAGGTGCTGACTCGGCACTCGTACTCGCCCTCGTCGGCCTGCACTGCGTTGCGCAGGAGCACGGCGCCGTCCAGGGGGCTCCGTGGTGGAGGCGGCTGCTCCACGCGGCCCTCGTAGGCCGCGCTCACGTGCAGCCCGTACTTGGAGTGCAGCAGCGCCAGCTCCCGGGCGCCCTCGCCCGCGTCCACGCGGGCCCACGCCACCTGCCCCACCTGCTCACCGGGCTCTCCTCGGTAGAAGCAGGGCAGCTTGGCGTCCTGGCCCAGCACCACCGTCACCAGGTCCGAGGTCTCCAGCTCGCCCGGCCGGCACCAGCCTGCAGAGGGTGGACAGGAGCGGCCAAGATTAGGGGTGCCCCGGAACCCGGAACTCCTGGAGCGCTTTCTGCTTGCCCAGCGCCTTTCATCCATTACCTCATTAGATCCACAAAAGGATCTCAAGAGGTGGGCGTCATTATCACCATTTAACAGATGAAGAAATTGAGACCCAGGGACAGGAAGTGACTTGCCTAAGGCCACCGGGGCGCTGGCTGCAGGCGTCACACCCTCTCCCAGCCCAGGATTGTGTCCTGAGCCATCGTGAGGTGGGAGGCTCTGCACAGAGGAGAGACCTAGCCTCTGCCCTCAGGGATCTCACAGTCCTCTCCTGGAAATGGATTTTATGTGCATGAAGACGGGGAAGCCATGGACAGACTTTCACAGAAGGTTCGATGTATCCAGGGGAGGTGGAGAGTGAATGCTTTCGGGAGGCGTGGCTGGGAGCCAAGGCAAGGGTCGAAAACAGTTGGAGTCTGGGATGGGGCATGTAGTGTGGGAAGGGTCCATCCCAAGAGGCCCTTCGAGAACATTCTTTTCATGGCTTGAAGATGAGAGACCTGGATTCCCAGAGAGAAGAAGGTATTCTATGTGGGAGGAATGGCACGAAATGAGGCTCAGAGAATGAGCTAGTCACTGAAGACAGAAAAGCCCCGGGTCAGAGGCCCAGGGGCATGAGGTCAGGGCACACGAGGCGACAGGGTCAGGATGGGGAGCCACAATCAGAGGAGCAGAGACCGGGACCAGCGAGGATGGGCGAGTGCATGGTGCGCCCGCGAGGAGCAGTGCAGAGCACCCAGCAGTCTCTATCACGTCACCTAATTTTCAAAGAAGGATCCCTTTCTTGCCCTGTTGGGACCTGAGATCTGTTCAGGAGGAAGAGAGACATTTGGGCACCAATACGGAAAGGTGTGACCGTCCCTGAGTTAGTGCTCGGTGCTGGTGCTGCGTTGCAGGCTAGTGGTGGACCAGGACAGTCGCTGGGGACCTAGGTCACGTGGGAGAGCCTCCTGGGGAGTTGGAGAGGACCAGCAGGGGGAGAGACCCGGAAAGGGATTCCAGGTCGGGGATTAAGGTGGGCAAACCCAAGGGGTGGGGAGGCTGGCTGGTTGGGGAAGCAGAGAGGGAAGGACACACCTAAGGCAGGGGGCTGTTGAGCAGGAGAGGAACGTGAGGGCGCGCCTTCCACGCTGGGCAAAGGAATTCTCGGGGCATCTACTATGGCGAGGGGCCAGGGGCGCTGTGCCTCCGACCAGGAAGTGGGGACACTGAAGCCCCCAGACTCATTAGGAATGCTTGGTGCTGTGGGATGGGGACAAGGGGACTGCCCTGGCGGAGGCTCGGCAGGACTGGATCACTGACCAGAACGGGAGGTGCAAGACAAGAGGCAAGAACAACCCCTAGGTTTCTAGGATAAGCAGCTTAGGAGGGAGGCAGGGCCTGCGGAAGCTCATGGTCCGGGAGAAATAAATTTGGAGCCACCGAAACATAGGGCTGGGGCAGAGTGAGGGCTCTCTCTGGGATGCCAAGAGCTCCTTGCCTCGGAACCTATATCCAGCAACCCCCAAAAGTGCAGAGCCCCGACCTCTGGCCAGCAGGTCACATGCCTTGCTCACTCGCTGCCCCTCCTGGAAGGCCCTCCTCCCTATGTCTGGTGGCTCTGACTCGTCACTGTCTGGATAACTCCTACTCATCCTTCAGGACTCTGCTTAGACATCACTTCCTCCCAGAGTCCTCCCTCCCCCAGGCGAGCTGCCCGTCCTCTGTTCTGCCCCGGCGCCCTGCTCTTACCTCTCCATAGTACTTTATCCCCTGGATGGGCCTCCCCTCCAAGAGTAGAAACTGGGTCTCGCATCGCATATGGAAACTGATTCAGTGCTCAGTGGCATGTGGTCTGCATTCTTGGCACGTAATCGGTGCCTGATTGCCATGAATGAATGAATGAATGAATAAGAAAGAGAGACAGGCAAAGTAGGAAGAGAAGGAAAAGTAGAAGGAAAAGGACTGAATCTTTGGTTGGGCTGGGTGGACAGGGAGGGGTTGCCGTGACAACCGGGGTGGAGGCAGGATAGGCTGGCTCTCTGGGCTCCTGCCAAAGGGAGCAGCTCCAGACTGCACAGAGGGAGAAAGAGGTGGGCGAGGGGGCAGCTCTGGAGGGAGAAGGTGAAGCCCCACTAGAGTGGACCGGAGGGTCCCACTGAGGCACAGCATGGGTCAGAGGAAGGGGGCCCCCAGGGCCCTGCTAGCAGGGGCACAGGGAGGGAGGGAGGATGCCTTTGGGAGGACCCGAACGGGACGGGACAGACCTGCAGGGCCAGATACCAGGGCCCTGACCTGCCTAAGCCGGTCTTGGTCCCACCCAGCCCAGCCTGGGAGTCCAGCTAACCACCACACCCCTCCCAGACACCTCCTGCAGGCGCTGGAGGGAGCAGGGCTGCCCCGGGAGGGCTGGAGGTGGGCTTGAGATAGGGACCCATCCCCCAGCACATCCTCTGCCTCAGACGCCGCTGTCTCTGCAGGCGCAGGGATCCCAAGTCCGGCTCCCCCGGACACCGGAACATTCCGAAAGGTTATTTCTGGGACAATGTCAGATGGCATCTTTTCCATCCCTGTCCCTACACTTGCCAACCATCTGCCCCTCTCTGCGACTGATCACCCACATCTTCCCCAACATATACGTCGTTCAGGGCGCAGCAGGCATATGCCTGAGTCACAATCCTCGGTGTCCCTCCCTGTGAGTCCAAGATCCCTGCTCCCCGGTGACAGGCCCCAGCTTTGCAGGCAGAGGTGCCCAGGAGAGTCCCTTTGGGACCTCCCCCACCGCCCTCATCATCCTGAATCCACTATCGGGCGGGAGCATCTCAGCTGAGGACAACATCCTCCTCCAGTTCCTGCACACACGTGCATGTACACACGTACACACACCTGCACACACACATGCGCACATGCACATGGGCTGCAACAGAAGGAAGCGAGAACTGGGGCTCTAGGATCCTTGTCCTGGGCTCGCTGGACCCAGAAGCCCAGACTGCCAGGCCAGGGCAGGCCAGGACTGCCTCCTCCTCCTCTCCCCCACCCAGTGCCCGCCCGGCGTCAGCATGATGATGTCACCGGAGCAAAGGAGACACACCGCCTGCCTGGTGAGGTCACCCCGTGGGCATGTAGTTGCCAGGCCGGGCCAGGCCCACGGCCCCTTGTGCCGCAGATTGTCTGCTGAGGCTGGTGGACTCCGCTGGCTGGGCACTCCTCCCTCGGCAGTCCCCACCCCTCCTCCCGGGGCAGCACCAGGACGCAGGTCAGGGGCCTTGGTGATTCAGATGCCGCACAGCAGCAGGCCGAGCCACAGCCGCCACCAGCCACCAGCTTGCGCAAGGGAGAGAACAGGCCCGACTGGCCAGACGGGATCCCTGCCTCAGCTTCCCCCACCCCTGGCCAGGCCCCCACGGGCCTCATTGGGGCCCTGCCCTCTGCGTACCCCGCCCGCTCCCAGACAGGCCCTCCATCCCCAGCCTGGGTTGCCCGCTCTCTACCGGGCGCCTGGGTCCCGACGTCCCTATTAGAGGTGGCGTCGGGCAGCAGGTGCAGACAACAGCGTCTTTGGGGACAGAGGCTTTGCCTTATGAGGAGCTACATCCCTGCTGGTGCGGAGGGGGACCTCGGAGGGGTCCTAGAGGTGGGGCCGTGAGGATGAAGCGAGTAGGCATGAGCCCTGCACGTCTGAACGGACGATGCCTTTGGAGAGGGCCCGGCAGGCCTCAGCGCTGCCTCGGGTAGGAGCGGCGGCTCCTTACTTGATGGGGGGGGGATTGCACACTTGTATGTGCCCACATCTCATCCTTAGGAAGGTGGCCGTGCTTGGCTGAGTTGGGAGCGAGAAGCATGAGGTGGCGCGTATGTGTGCACGCGCATGTGTGCGTGTGCACACACGTGTGTCTCCCACTTCTGCATGTGCACGTTCCCAGCCCGTGGAACTCCGAGCACAGAATAAATATTTTGATGTCGGCTTCTCTTGGCTGCCGCTGTCTGTCTGTGTGAGCTGCCCTTGGTCGGCAGTGGGTGGCTCGGCGCCCTCGCCCCTGCGTCCCAGCTGCAGTGTCGCCAGGTGCCCCTCCCCACCTCACCCCAGACTCCAGGGCAGATTCATCTAGGTGGAGGTAGGTACCCAGAGATGAGGTCACTGTCCCTCCAGGTGATGGGAAATTGCCATCCAGGGCTCCCCAGCAGAAGCAAACAAAGGCTCACCTTGCCCTTGCTCCTCAGGTTCCTACTAGAAGGACTCCCACCCAACTCACCGCCCCCCCCGGGTGCCCCCGAGCCCCGCTGGCCCCCCAGGAGGCCTCTCCCTGGGAATCTATCAGACCTCTGCTTCTGCTGCCACCACCAGAAAAACCTGCTCTAGCTCCAGGCCTGGGGTAAGGGTTGTCTGGTGTGGGTTTGGTGGGAAGGGGGGGATCCTGCCCGGGGCTGCGGGGAGGGGTCCAAGCTGTCCGGGGGCTCATCCTCCTTTGTTAACTCTTGCTTCCCTCACCCCACAGTAGCAGTCTCTCCCAGAGGGAGCTGAAATATGAGGGAGAGTTTGGGGTAAGAAAGGACCTGGGAGGAGCCCTCCGTCTCCCCTAGAGGACAGGTAGGTAACATCAACAAGCCAGCAAGCCTGTTTCCTTCCACCCTTCTCCCTGTAACCCTGGCCTTGGAGTGCTGAGGAACTTGGAAAACCAGGAGGTTCTCCCTCTGCCTTCATCCCTGTCTCTCACTTAGCCCCCATTGTCCTAAGCCCCCCAGCTTAGGGAGAGCTTCCCAACCCGGGCAAAGTGCCCACCCACAGATTTGTGCCTGGGGAGGGGGCCACACCGATCACAAAGGGAGGCGAGAACAATGCAGGAGGACAGGCCTTGAGGCAGCCGGCTCTGGCCCAGACACAGCTCCCAGCACAGATAAGTCCCCTAAACCCCCCGGAGCCAGAGTCTGAGCCGGGCTGAGTCACCACAACAGCCACACTGTGGGTGGGAGACCCAGAATTCTGCTTCTCCCAAACTCCTGAGATCTTAGCCACCCCCCCACAAAGCAGAGGCCAGCTCTGCCCCACCCCAAATCACAGCCCCAACCCAGCTCTCACCCATCTTGAAGGCAAGCAGGGAGGGGGTGGAGTGGCCAGAAAACTATGGGAAGAGCTCCTGAGGCCAGAGGCTCCAGGTCCTCCTCCAGCGCCTCCTCTCTGGGGCCTGGTGGCCCGCCCCGAGTTCAGCCCCCAGTTCCCAACTGGACCTGGACCTTCCTTGCAGATTCAGTTTGCAGGTCCAGCCCCGAGGCTCCCGCCCCCCATCCCTCCTGACTCCGCGCCCACTCCCAGCCCTGCTCTCCGCTGGCCTCCGGTCAGTGCTCGGCCAAGCCATGGAGGCCAGCAAGTGGAGGCAGCCTCTCCTCCGGAGGCTCGCTCCCTGCGGCGGCCGCCCTCCTTGGCCTGGTGGGCTCCAGGCACCGAGACTGTGCTCCAGAAGCGGGGACCATGGGCTCTCGCTGCCATCGTGGTAGCCGCGCTCCCCTTAGCCCAGACCCCTGAAACGCCAGGGGGGGACCAAGGTCACTGGAGCCACAGGGCTTCCCTGGCATTCTCCTCGGTCCCTTCCGCCTTGGGTGGGGAAGCTGGCCTCCCTTGCTGGCTTTCCTGGGTTTGGGTAGGTCCTGTGGGAAAGGGCCTGCCCCCCTCTGTAAACAGGAGTAGAAAAGCAGGGATGGGGCCCCTCCCTTTCGAGGAAACTAACCTCAGGTAGAAAGCTGATCCTAATCCTTAGAGGGCAGACCACAGAATTCGGGGGAAACCCTCACCCTCTGGCCCCACAGGACCCCGTTGGGCCCAGACAAAGAGCTAGAAACTAGGGTCCTACTGGAGAGGTGTCTAGATTTGGGCCCCTCAGCCTTGGGGCAGGAGATGAGGGAGGGGGGTGGGAGGGGACCTCACCCGGAAACTCATCCCATTAAGAAGAGACAAAGAACTGTGGTGTCAGGCGCCTCCCAAGCCTGGGCTCCTCTCCCTGGCAGGGGTGGGGCAGGGCCCTGGGGCTCAGAGCTCTAATGGCCCAGGAGTCAGGGGTGGGGGGTGCACTGATTTGCAGCAGGGCAGGGGCAGAAGGCAGCATCCAGGGTACAGCCACCTCAGGCCCCCCTGAAAGATGGGCCAGGACATCCCCCCCCCCCCCGCGAGCAGCCCAGACAGACAGACCACCTGCTCCAGCCCCCAGCACTTCCCCAGCCAGTGGGCCTGGACAGTCCCACGGCCGCAGGGCTGTCGCGCTGGAAGCCCACAGCCACCGGTCCTGCCTCCTGCCTGCCGAGTCCACCTTCTTAGTTGCCCAAGGTCACCTAGCAAAATAATAGCAGAAATGGGGCCAGAACACAAGACTCCTGACTTCCAGTCCAAGCTTTTTCAGAGACAAGAAACCCTCCTGCTTCCCCGGGGGCTTTGCACACAGAAGAGCCGGAAAGGGGGTGGCAGCGGAGGTGGTCATCAGGCCGGGAGCCGGGGTCCGAGTTCCCGGCCTCAGAGCACCACCCAGGTCTACAGAGGCCTCACAGCAGCCGCAGACTGGAGGCTCGCTGGGCACCTACTTGGGAGGAGCCTGGGGCCAGGGACCCCCCCCCCCGCCCCCTGTAGCCGGGGCACCTGCCCCTCAGGCATTGGGCAAGGTCAGGGTGATGCCTTAACTACGAGAGGTCTCCACTCCCCTTCCCTGGGCTTCTCTTAGCACAGTCTTTGTGTCCTGGAAACAGAAGGCGGGGACCAGGTCTTGTTCCCCACTGCGTCCCCAGCATTTAGTGACCCAGCTGGACTCCTTGTGCGCCCAGATGTACCAACCTTTAAAGGGTGAGGGGCTGGGAGACCAAGATACTCACCCTGGCGGTGCTTCTAACACTAGTAATCTTTTTTTTTTTTTTAACACAGAGTACAAGCAGTGGATGGGGGTGGGGCAGAGGGAGAGAGAGAAAGAGAGAGAGAATCTCAAGCAGGCTCAGTGCGAGCCCAACGTAGAGCCCGATGCGGGGCTCCATCTCATGACCCCGAGATCATGACCTAAGCCGAAATCAAGAGTCTGGCCCTTAACCGACTGAGCCCCCCGGGCGCCCCTAACATGGAGTAACCTTAGGACGTCACTTGCCTACCTATTTGTCTTGGTAAAATGAGGCAGTTCAAGCGGTGGCCTCTCTGACCCCTTCCATGTCCTCAGACCTCATGGCTCCATTCTTCAGGGGTGGGTAGATCCCCCAGAAAAGTGTCTGCCGAGTTCCCTGGCCCCAGCGACCAGACCCCACCCTCTGGGCCTGAGCAAGTGAGGAGGGTTGTCTGGAAAATGGGAATTAAGTCAGGGGTAGGAGGCAGGGGCTGGAGCTCAGTATCCTGCGACTGGAGACTGGCCAACGACCCTTCCACCCTTCCGTTGTCAGATCAGGGCAAGGGCAGCAGCCGCCCACCCACACACCTATGCCTCATTCTCCCGATGGCTTCCGCCGGGGACAGACAGGGCAGTCACTGCTGGGCTCTGCTGGACAAGGAGGCCCCCTCGCAACGGCTCCTGGGCTGACCCAGGTAGGGCTCTGACTTCTGAGGACCAAGATTCCCCAGTCCCTCCTCATGCTGGGAATAGCCGACGGGATCCCACTGTGGCCTCACTGTGCACACACATGCAGAGACACACGCACACGAGCACACACTTTCTCCCCCACTCTGAAGATAAGTTCAGTTCTCCCCCACTCTGAAGATAAGTGATTTATATCTGCTATATATGCATTAGACGGGAGTAACATGAGGCATCTGGTCAAGAAAAGAAGGGGACAGGGAATAAACAAAAGGAGACCACACCCTGTCTAGAAGGTGCCCTACCCTAGACCCCCCGCTCATCTCAGATCATGCCCCCCTGAGCACCCTGGTGTTTAATAGGGAGCCCAGGCAAAGAGAGGGGCCAGAGCGAAGGCCCAAGCTCCGCAGTCCTCTCCCAGCAGGTGTCCCCCTCCCCACTCTAGCACATCACGGCGAGGGGAGAAGCCAACAGGAGTGCCCTGTCCACTCTCCGGGCATCGGGCTTCCTACACCCTGATGACTGCAAAAACCAGTTCAACCCTGAGTCAGCCCAGGGCCAGTCAGCAGTTTTGCAGCCTGGGGGTGGGGGTGCGGGGCAGGCGAAGGAGCCTCCGCGAAACCCTGGGGTGAGAGGGTCCCCGTCTGTTCCTCCTCCCTGCCCACCTGCAAGGGGTCAACATGTCTCTTTCCCCAGAGGCAGCTGTGGCAGCGGTGGTCAGGGATTGGGGACCTTAGACAGAGTGACATGGCCTGGGGCCGGAAGAGGGTAGAAGGGGAAGAGTGACAGCAGCCCTTCTGGGGGCAGTACTCGCAGTGGGGGTGGGAGACAAATAGGTCCCTCAGTCCAGAGTCAAGAGTATATTTATTTGTGCGTGTGTGTGCGTGTGTGCGTGTGTGCGTGCTGGCTCGGCCCCAGGAGCAAGGGTCCCCATGGCTCAGGCAAGTCCTACCTGTGAATGACGCCAGGAGCAGCAGCAGCAGCAGGACCTCAGGCACCCACATCTCGGCTCCCAGGGACAGAGGCATCCAGCAGAGGCAGAGCCGTCCGGCGTTTCTGAAGCTCCACTGAGATCTCCCTGGGAGCCGCGTTGGAGCTGGGGAGGGCACCCACCCAGGAGGCAGGAGGTCGCGGAGTCCCCAGGCACTGACACACCTGCCGAGCCCTCTGGGGTCTCTGCAGGGGACCCAGCCCTGCTCTACCCACCCGGCTAGAGCTCCCCCCCAAAAAGCCGTGGTCGGGAGCTCCGAGCTCCCCCAGAGCTGCTTCCCACGCCACGGCCAACAACGAAGGCAGAAACCTGGGAACCTGCTCAGCAGGTCAGAACAGGTGCGTCTCCGGGGGTTGGGCCTGGCACGGAGACTCAGCAGCCACCGCCCCCACGGCCGGGCTAGCTAATGGGCGCCAGGGAGGGAGGGGAGGCGGGAAGGACCTGGTGGGGGATCCCACCGTAGCTCCAGGGCCTTACCTGGCAGCACGGAAGGGGCTGCGGAGGGAGGGGCGGGGTGCAGGGGCCGGGGGTGCGGCAGAGGAAGGCCCAGCGTAACTCAAAGACGAGGCACCAGGCCAGGAGGAACAGGGGCAAGGCCCTTGTGGGTGGAAAGGAACCCAAGCATCCCACACCCCTGCCAGCCGCGCGGCCTCCCCAGGGCCTCGCCTAGTTCCCCAATCTCCTGGGGGGCTCAGCCTTGAGGCTGCAAATCAGAGCAGGCCAGAGCTGAGAAGGCCAGGGCTGGCCCACACACCTGACCCTTCGGGTGAGAAAGACGCCCCGAGAGGGGACCGGGCTTGCTGGGGGGCACTCAGCAGAGGTGGTAACACGGGGGTTCTCGGGCATCTCTGTCCATGAGACAGGGATCCAGTTCAAAGACCCCGGGGAAGGAGCGGAAGTGACACCCTCCCCAGGCCCAGAGGCTGTAGAAGCCTAAGGACTGACAAGAAATTAGCCCCACGGACTCCTGGCCCCCCAGCAGGCCCCCATCTGAGCGGCAGCGCCTCCTTGCTGCCTGGCCAGGAGCCCAGAAGTGCATCAGCGCAACTCTCCACGGTCGTTTTACCCTTTACCCAGTGGTCATGTCCATTTTGAGTCCCCCCCCCCCCCCCCCCGCCGCTGTCCCTGTGTCCCTCTAAGTACACGCACACTCGGAAGGGCCTTATGCATAAAATGTCACCACCAAGTTACACAAAAGCTTACTGGCCAGCCTGGGATAGCCAGAGGGAGGGGGCTGACTCCCACCCACCCCCAAAAAAAACTGGGAGAAGGGGAGGGGCAGGCGGGTAAACACGGAGCTAAACGCGAGAAAGGGAAATATAGGTTTCGCTTTGCAGCAGGGCCCTCTTGTCTGGCGGGAGGCAGGAAGGGGTACCGAGAGCAGCAGGGGGGTCACCTCGCGGGGAGTGTTTCCCACACCCCACACCCCACACCTCCACCTCTGCCGAAGTTGAAAGCCGACCCCAAACACCAACAGGCATCTTCAAGCTTTCTCAGCTCCCCACCCCCCGGGGTGAGTCTGTCGGCCTGGCCTTCCGCAGCCTCTGCTGCGCCCCGTATTAGAGCTCACGTACCCCCATCATTTGTGCACATCTTATTTCCTTAAATAAATGTGAGCTTCAGTGCGCGAAACACTGACCGGAGCCTGCTGTGTGCCAGGGCTTCGGGGAGCGTGTGGGGACGAGGGACGGGACGAGGGACGGACGGGCTCTGGGCTCCTAGAAAGTCAGGCTTGTGCTGGGACCTTGTGTCGGTGGCCGGCGCTCGGGCAGCCAGCGGCCTGTGGTGGGCGCTGAACACCTTTAGGCCGAAGGCGTGAATCTGGGAGGCAATGGATGTCAGCACGGAAAGGGGGGCCCCGGAGGGTCAGTCCAGGGGGCATGCTGCGTGCCCTGAGCCCGAGCCATCACCCAGACCGTCACCCTGCCTCCGGACTGCGCCCCCGACTCCGGTCTGGACCCAGCTCTTGGCAGTGGCCGTGGCAGTGACCTCTTCCTCCTCGAGGGCTGTTTCCAGCAGGTCAGGGGTAGTCCCAGGGCCCAGGCCGGACGCCCCAACTCCCCAGTTTCTCTCCACCTCCACCTTGGCAAACCCCTTCCCCTCCGGGATGCAGGTCCCCGCCTGTGCCAGGGGAGCAGCCTCACCCCGATGCTGCTTTGAGATCCGCTGCGGCAGGGGTGGAGTAGGGCCAGGGGGAATGGGTGGGGGGAGCATCCCGTGTTATAATTATAATTATCACACCTTGGATCCTATCGCACAGTTTCAGAGGAGCTCCTTTCCTTCCCACGGATTCACCCCTCCTGGCCAGGAAACCACGGGAGAAACTGAGGCAGGGGGCAGCAGGGCAGTTAGGTCACTAGGTGGGCACCCGCCTTCTGGATCTCCTCAGCTTCTCCACGCACAGGGTACCCCCACCCATCCACAGGGCTCCCGGCCAGGAAGTCTGGGAGCCCCTCAGTCCCTCCCCCTCCCCTGGCCAGCTGTCGGTTGTCCATCCAGAGCCCTTCTCAAGGCTAGGATGTCCCCGGTGTAGTCAGGCCGGGCAGCCCCTCTCGGCCTCCCCGTGACATTGGAGGCTTGCCCTCCACCCGGTGCCCTCACTCCTGTCTCACAGGGCCACCCCTCCCCCCGCCCTGGGGAGCATGCCCCAACGTCGACAGGGCCCGGGGAGGGCATTCGAAGACTCTCTAGGCCGGTGCCTGGTTTTCTGGGGTCTCTTCTTTCCTCCTCGTTGAACCCCCGCCCCCCCTGGTGCCTCACTACCTACCGTCTCCCACCCAAACTCGGGGCCCGACAGCGGGGGCAGTTGGAGCCCAGGTGGCGTGGTGAGTGGCTCACCTGTCTGAGCGCCATCACCGCGGGGGGCCTGCTGACCTCCGGGTGGGGCAGGGGACCCCTGCCCTCAGGGAGCCCTTGGGGAGGGGGGTGGGAAACAAACCATAGGACCCTATGGCCCACCCTATGTTCCTGTGGTGTACCTGGGTGCCTGCGGTGCCCACCCTCGCGCTGCTCCTGCGAGCAGAACTGCAGACGTTCACAATCTGCGTGTGTCCAAGCATCGGCTCACAACTCAGCTCTGTCCCCGTGGCAGGCTGCACACCTAAGCCAAACCGGTCGGAGTGGGTTGTGCTGAAATTTTTGTTTGTGTCAATGGGACTTGGAGGTGAGTCAGGGAGGGACAAGGATGGGTGGGGTGGGGTGGTGAGAAGAGTGAGAGTGAGGGTCAGGTTGAGTGAGGGGGAGGGGGAGCGGGTCAAGGCAGGGGGCAGGGAGGGTTGGGCTGGGGGGTGGTCAGGACGATGGGTTGGGGTTCGGGCAGATGAGAGAGGCCCCTAGTGAGTGAGTAACACCCCTGTGTGCAGTGGGATCCCGGATCAGAGGAGAGTCAGAGGCTCAGGGCACGGGTGGGGGAGACCCTTGGGCTTTGGGAGACGGGAGTGGATAATAATAGATCATTGTGGAGCCAGGCGGCAGCACGAGTGTGGACAAATTGTCGGCGACCCAGTTCTACACAGCTTGGTTCCTCTGGGTGATGGGAAGCTGCTCCAATCCGCTTTCTGCCTCGGTTTCTAGTTTGCACAGAGGGGCTTTGGGGTGCTGATGGACATCATGGCAGGTTACTGATGCGGGATTGGCTTCTGTCCCCAGGACCAGGGCACTTGCGGGTAGAAGCCTCAAGCTCACTTGGGCCCTTCCTAGGACTCCTCCCCCACGCGGGGGCTCCCACGGGAGGACCTCCAGCAGCTCTTCACCCCTGGAAACGCCTCTGGCCCCGCAGCAGCACCGCTGTGTGGGCCACGGCGTCCTGTCTACCCTGAGGGTTGACCTGAGGCTCTGTCTCATGGGCTCTGCTGCTCCTACTCCGTGGCCTGCAGGCCAGGAGATGCCCGGACCCCAGCCCCGTCCCTGCATCACAGCCATGCCTCCTGGTTGCCTCCCAACCTTCCCTGGAGCTCAGGGGACTGGAGTTGCTTGTTCCTAAAGAGGTCTACTGCTGGAGTGACCCACGCAGCCAGCTGAGATGGCTCCGCAGAGGCACGCGTGGGCCCCGTCCTACAGGCCAGTGTGTGCAGGAGCCCCGCCTCCTTGCCCTCACCCCCGGCTCCCCGGGCATCTGCAAGTACTTGACACCATGAACTCCAGCGCCAGGGCCTGGGGTAGGAGATAGATGCCTTTATTCTTTGACCCTGTCTCCGGATGGGCTGGCACTTTGAGAAGCCTCTAGAAATAGGTCCTGGCAGGTGTAGGGCAAGAGTGGGAGCCTGCATGAAAAGAAGTCTTCCAAGGGGTGACAGCAGCAAGGAGGAGGTAAGAGCAGAGGAGGCGGGGTCCTGGGAGCTTGGCAAAGCATGGATTCTAAAGTGAGGACCCCAAGCGGTGCCCCCTGCACCCTCCCAGGTCTTCCCAGGAAGCCCACCTGCTGGGGAGCACGAAGGCAGCCCCCAGGGGCCAGCGGGCCTGCAGAGCTTACACCTGCGGCGCCTGCAGGGAGCACCAGGCCTTCGGGGCCGGTCACGCTCACGCACAGCATGGACGCTGTGGGAATGGTCCTCTGCAAGGCAAAGACAGCCACTTCCTGGTCATCGGCCTGAGCGCCTGTCACCACCGCACTCAGCTGCCCTGGGGCGGGGGGGGGTAGCCTGCGGACACCCTACAACCAAGCCTCAATCTTGGGCCGGGCACCGGGGGTAGCAGGGCAGCTGCAGAGCCGAGGTGTCAACTCAAGGCCAGGAGAGCAGGAGGCCCGTGGATGCGGGAAGCCTGGGAGGGCTGGGAGCTTCGTGGAGGGGGCGCGAAGGCCCGGAGGGGACAGGCAAGTGTTCCCTGGGGGAAACCTGAGAGGACCGAGGCGGAGGGCACGCTGGCGGGAACGGGGAGGAACTGGGGACTCCCGGAATTTGAGGGCAGATTTTCTTCTGAAGCTGGTTGGCGTGATCTTCCTCCTGTGTGGCTCGGGAACGCTCACCTGTCTCATAAACCCCGAGTTCCCTCCTCCGCTCCCCTCCAAGATCCACGCCACCTTGGACCTGCAGCTCTACCTATTTCCCTGGCTGGCACTCAGCACTCAGCACTGAGCAGCACTCAGCACTCAGCACGGCTGCCCTGGTCAGAGGCCAGGACGCAGAGTCGTCGTAGAGGGGTGGCTCAGCCCAAGGGGCCCCGAAAACCAGGGGCCAGCTCCTCCGGCTCCAAGACACCCCAAGGCCCTCCTGCATCATGACCATTTCCAGGCACGGGAGACAGACAGACACCCAGAGCAGGAAAGGGGTGAGGAGGAGACAGACGCACTCGGAGCCAGCGGGTGAGGGTCATTCAGAGACAAAGACGGTGAGACCAAGTCTGACACAGACAGAAAGACCTAGAGACATTTTGGGAAGCCCGCTTGCCCCTGCTGCCCCTCCCGCCTACTCCCCTCTCCACAGGGACCCAACGACATTTCCCTGTTCAATAGTGTGAAGTCCCTTAAGAATTCCCATCCGCACCCCACCTCTGCCTGGCCTCTC